CGAAACCTATTGATCGAACATAGTCAAACGAACATAGGCTATCCGAATAGTGGAACAGATCGCCCAAATTCGCCAAATCGAAACACCTTGAAGTTGGGACATGAAAGAGAATTAGAATCTCTCTTCCTAGGCAGCAAAAACATGACGAGTCTTTTTAGAAGGATGAGATATGGTAATGCTTATGATAAACGAAACAGGACGACCCTCCTACCATATCCAAAACTCATCAAAAAGGTGGCTTCGTAAGATGGCGAAGTAAAGAAGGTCTAAACCTCTCAAGACGAGGGTACGAGGATAAAGAATAAAATTTTACGGAGGCGCCAACCTAAACCAGAGCATCGAGCGAGACCCGAACTTTTGAAAAAGGAAAAGAAGTGGTTGAATCCAGCTATGATATAGACTTCGAAGATGGTGATAATTTCTAAGTAATCATGGACAAAGGCCCTTACCATGTCCAGAGTCCCACCATGGGACTAATCAAAACTATGGAGTGCAACATGGTTATGACGTTGCTAATCGAATACTTAGCAAAAATAGAAAAAGAAAAGCATCGACTTAAAGATATCCTCAACGATACTCGTTACGGAGATGAAAATGGCTGAAATAACATTAAGGTTAGTCTAACCCTAAAAAACGTTTTCACGGTAAACATCTAATTACTTTCAAAAAACCAAAGCTTTCTAAAAGTAAACATATAAAGCCATTGTATATTAAAACCTTCATTAATGGCTTCCTAGTAGGAAAAGTGTTAGTTGATAATGATGTTGCCGTCAATATAATGCCATTGAATATGCTTAAATATCTAAGAAAATATAGCAAAGATCTAACCAATACTAATATATCAGCTTTATGGTTTTACCGAAAAATTTTACAAAAGCAAGAGGTATCCTACCCGTTGAACTCGTAGGTTGGATCAAAAATAGAAATTACTCGTGTTTTTTTACGATTAATACCAAATCATCCTTCAATGCATTATTAGGAAGGGATTAGATTCATCCAAACCTTTGGGACCTTTATCTCTCCACTAAAAACTTGTTTTTTGGAATTCCGAGTCTTTTGAAACTATCTATGTAGATATCGACCAAGTGCAAGTTCGGTTCAATATCATTGAGATAGGGATTTTTGAGAGAGAACTAATTCCATTCTCTTATGAGAATGTTTGTTTGCACTAGGAAACCATCCCCACCATAGAAGAACTTATCACCTCGGACTTTGATGTCGATTTTCTCATATTGTCTCTCGAACCGCCAAAACATGGTAAGGATAAGGGAATACTAGGTCAAGAAGAAGAGAAATAATCATTAGAATCGGTCGAATCGAAAAAGTGCTCGGTAAAAAATGTTGCCGATGAAAATTTACAACACCCTAGAAGGGTAGAAAAGGAAGTTAGAGATAATGAAGAGGTGCAAAACGTGATGGCATGGTACCCTAAGCCATAAAGGAGACTCATGTTTGAATGATGATGAGTCCGACACAAACTGGAATAGATGGTATGGAGGCAATTCAAGCTATCATGTATCATTTGAGTATATATAAAATTGAAAGAAGGGTCGGTCGAAGGGAAATCAACCAACCTCGGTATTATAGATTGCATTCATGAAGAGGATATCAAGAAGGAATGTAGAAATAACTTGGTGGATGTGTTTATGGTAAGACAAATAAACATGCCGGGACCAATTGCTCAAGATCCATTAAAAGAAGTTAAGTTAGAAACACAAGGAGAGCCAAAACCTACTTTTATAAGTAAGTTATTAGATCCACGAGTTCAAGGAATAAATAGTCTCTCTATTAAAGATATATAAAGATTGTTTTGTTTGGGAATATCATGATATGCTTGGTTTGAACAGAAATTTGGTAGAAAATCATCCGCAATTAAGGAGAATGCCATTCTTGTGAAATAAACCCTAAGAAGAATGTCCGGAGAAGTAATCGACTCAGTGCGACAAGAGATATAGAAGTCGTTACAAGCAAGATTTATCAAAACTTTTAGATATGTAAAATGGATCTTTAATATTATGCCAGTTGTAAAGAAAAATAGAAAGATTAGAGTCCGTATAAATTTTAAAGATCTTAATCGATATACTCTAAAAGATGAATATCCAATGCTAATAGTATATCGATGATGTTGTTATTAAATCATTATGTCAATCATTATATCTCATCGATTTGAAAAAATTCTTTTCAACAAATGAAGGTGCATAGCTTGAAACTAAATCCATTAAAACGTGTCTTTGGAGTAAGTGCGGGAAACTTCCTTGCTTTTTTTATTCACAATAGAGGAATCGAGATCGATGGTCACAAAGATAAAGCCATCTTTAAAGGCAAACCACTAAAAATAAAGAAGCAATTGCAAAGTTTTCTTCGGTAATTGAATTATTTACGTCTATTTATCTTTAATACACACGGGAAGACTAAAGTTTTCTCACCATTGTTAAAATTAAAGGATTCGAAACATTTATGTGGAACAAATAACATCAATAAGCCTTTGATGCAATTAAAGCCTATCCGACAAGACAACCTATTTTTGGTCCCCCTAAAACTCAAAAAACCTCTTAAGTCGTATATCGTAGCAAGTGAGGAATCCATCGGCTATTTTTTAGCCCAAAAAAATAGTAATGGTATTGAATAAGCCATTTTTTACTTAAGAAAAAGTTTGAATGTTTTGGAATGTAAGTACCCAAGCATCGAAAAAATTTGTTTGGCATTATATTTTACAGCCATGAAATTAAGATAGGATTTGCTTGCTTATAATGTTGAAGTTATAGCACAAACTAATGTCATTAAGTATATGCTCTCTAGTCCATTTTTGAAGGGTCAAATTAGTAAATAGAGCCTCGCTTTAATCCGAGTTCGATCTAATATATGTTCCTTAAAAATCTATCGAGGGCGAGGCATTAGCAAACTTTTTAGCCGATCATCCTAGTATCGATAAAGATCCGTTAGAGGAAATCGTTTACCTTGGGATAGTCCTATGGAAGTTATTTTTTGATGAGTCTAGTTCAAAAAATGGTTGAGGAATTGAAATTGTACTTGTATCGCCCGGTAGGTCCCTACACATTGGGTTTGTAAAATAAAAGGAATATGCACTCATAATTGAGCCGAATATGAAGCTTTGATTATCAAGCTTGAATTGGTCTTAAGTGGATGAGTGATAACCATCGAGATATATAGAGATTCACAATTGGTAATCAATCGAGTACTAAGTTATGCCAAATGTAACAATAAAATTTTGGAACGGTGTCTAAAAAAGGTCAAAGATTTGTTAAACCAGATTGAAGTAACCAAAATTGAGCATATTCCCAAGGAAGAAAATTGGTTAGCATAATTTTCCATTGGTTATCGAATCCCTCTAATCAAGTTCAAGGAATTAATCACTCTCGAAGACAAAGTGCTTTCAAGTTTTGATCAAAGAAAAGAATTGGTTGAAATCAATACAATTTCAATCCTTCGATCCATTTCGATTAGAGAGATGAGATCATTTTAGCATTAGCAAATCCCGAGTTAGTAAGACAAAATTCTCATATAAAACATCTAATAAGAAACTATGTTTTTCAAGAAGATGATTTGTATAAGAAGGGTGCCGATGGAATACTGCTTCGATGTGTTAACTCTAAGGAAGCTTTGAGAATAATGGTTGAATATTATTTTGGTCTCTAAGGGTTACACTAAACGGGGGATAAAATAAGTTGGGTAATTCGACGCCATGGCTTCTTTTGGCCATCGATGAAGAAAGACTACATCGAAATGGTAAAAAGATGTGATGCATGCCAAAAACAATGCAACATACCTAGCATTCCCGCATCCGAATTGCATTCGGTAATTAAACCATGGCCATTTAGAGGATGGGTAATGGATTTAATTAAGGAAATTAACCCGTCTTCAAGAGCATTTCATTCATACATAATAGTCGCCACTAACTATTTCATTAAATGGGTGGAAGCAAAACCTATAAAGTCGGTAAACCAAAATGATGTTATTCTTTTTATTCAAGAAAACATCATATATAGGTTTGGTTTACCATAAGCTATTACTATTGATTAAGCTCCAATATTTAATGGGGTAGAAATGCAAGAATTTGTAAGAGAATTTGGTTTTGATATAGTCAACTCGGCACCATATTATGCTCAAGCCAATGGACAAACAAAAGCTTTAAATAAGATCATTAAAGGAAATATCTAGAAGATAGGTAATAATCCTCAAAATTGGTATGAATTGTTATAGAACACTTAATGGGTCCATCGAGTTGGTTATGAACAGAGTACTAGTACAAGTCCATAGCATTTAACTTATAAACATGATGTAGTGCTCCCATTTGAAATTGTGGCTCAATCATTAAAAGTAAATGGAATGTCAAAAATTGATTATACGGATGCCATGTTTGTTCGGACAAAATCATTGGATTTGCAGCGAATTAAGGCACTTGACGGGATTCATATGCAAAAACAAAGGAAGACACGAACTTACAATCGAAAAGTTAAAAGAAGAAATTTTTTGATTGGAGATTTAGTTTGGAAGGTCATACTACTAGTTGGGAAAAAAGATTATTTATTTGGTAAATAGTCACCTAATTGGGAAAACCCTTTTAGAATTAAGAAAGCTTATTCGGAAATGCTTATAAATTAGAAAGCATTCAAAGAGTGGAGCATGCTAAGGGTATTAATGGTAAATACTTAAAGCTATACATTCCTTCTATTTGGGAAGCCAATAAAGAAAATTTAGAGTTTTGATTTCTAGAGTTATAAAAAATGTATAGAGAAACTCAAGAATAGCATAAAACAATGCAAAACAATCACTTAATTCGAAAAACATATTTTTTGAATTAAAGTTAGAATTTTTACAAGAAAATCATGCGTATTTACCATAAGAAAATCTAGTCCCTCGAAAATAATAGCTATACAAATCATGCGTCCGCCATCTATACAAATCTTCATTGATATCGGCAAGTCAAAGTTCCGAGGCGGATTAAGCATATTTCGGTTCGATCAACTTTTTCCTCATTTTTACAATCTCATTGTCCAAATGAGCGTTGGCTTGATCCAATTCAACTCGTTCCTTCCCGGTATTGTAGTAGCTTTAGTTAGGGTCCTTTTGATAAAAATTTGGATGTTTTCCTCCAAGGAACCCCGCATGGTTTGTTCCTCTCTTAAAGCCATAGTAATCATGTCTCTCGAGACATTAAGAGATTCTTGATCATAGTTGTCCGGAGGAAAGGAATAGAGGAAGCCAATGAGATCCGGAAACCTATTAGAAGCAAAAAAAATTGAGTCTCTAAGACCCTAAGAGGTCCCGTTATAACTAAAGAAGGTACTACTTGAACTCGTTGATTCAAAGCAATGTTTTACTTAGTGGAAGCCTTCCTATAACTCTCGAGCTCAACCTTAGAGATATGGCTTAAAACCACCTCGTTGTTATTGATTCCTCCATTGGGACCATGATGAGAACCTAAATCATGGATACCGACCATTGGAAAATGGTCGATCATGACAACCATAGGCGTTGGTTGATAAACCACCAAAGTTCGTAAATGGATCTCGTAAAAAATGAGTATCGGAAGAATCGAGTCATTTCATTAAAAGGCCTTTGTTTCGAAATAAGGGACATATCGAGAGAAGGGATCTTTTCTAAACCTTCTATTTCCATCCCAATAGGAATCTCAATAATAACAAGCTTAGGTTCCTTTGTACATTTTTGTGTTGACTTATGAAACGTCTCGCTAGAGGTCATCTCGATAGGATTCGTTGTTTCTATCTCACCCTAAGAATCCAAATATAATTCCTCAAAGGGTTGTAATGGTTCTCCAAAAGGCATCTCCGGCCCAAAGGTAAAAGCTAAAATGTCCCAGTTCATATTCACAATCAAAGAAAAGAAACAATCAATTTGGCATTAAAAAGATCGTTACCTATACTTGGATATGTTAGGATGTCGGGATTTCCTCTAAGAAAGAAGTTGGCCTAAGATCGACCACCTAACAAGACCATCAAATAATGTGAGTTTCATTAAAAATCTTACCGCAAATGAGGAGAGTGCTTAAAGAAACTTACTTAGCTTGTTTTAGGCCTAGTTGAACCACTTGATCAAAAGAATAGTTCGAATTCGAAACCATAGACTTGGGTTCTAATGTATGGCTAAAAATCTCTATAAGAGGAGGGGGTTATCGAAGTTCCCTCTTTAATATTCTCAAGTGAACAAGAATATAGAATAAAAACCAATATCAAGGTAAGATAATGATGACGAACGGAAAGTTAAGAAACATTCTTATCGCTTTCGCAAAGTCGCCACTTCTTGTTCTTTCGGTGAAAAACCTTCGAGTACGGGATGATTGCCTACATAGGCTGCACATTCAATTCTTTATCCTTATGGAAATCTATAGTTTTTGTAGATTTAACGAGTTGTAGGATCCATCAATCTAGCGAGACTAAGGGGTGAGCGCTACATTTGTACGGTCATCGAAGCTCAACTAAGGATCGTTCCCTTTCGGAAAAGGAGGAATAAGAAGATGGGGGTTACGGCATGGGAAAGGTATCCCTAATAACGGGACCCATCAAGCTAATAGGCCTAGAGGCATCTTGTAGCAATCTTTTTTGAGGTCTATACAATGATTTGATTAGCTCCTTTGAAGATGAATTTTTTGAGGAAGGACTAGGAAGAATGAACCTTTTTTTCTCGATCTTGTTTCTTTGGTAAAGTTTTTAATAGATAAAAACGAGAGAAAATCGGTATTCTTTCACAATCAAAATGAAAGAAAAATAAGAAGGAAACCTATCAATTTTCACGAGTAATCTTTCTTTAACCGGTGTTGATCTCATTTGAGTTGACATATCGGTAATTGCTTAGAACAGTTCCTCTCGACATGGAGGAGGAAAATTATTACTCTAGAACGCCGATAACATTACGGTGAAAGTTGAATTCACTTCAATGTTTGGGCAATAGCCGTGTAAGTCTTGAGTGTTGACAAAGACTATGGATTCATTCTTAGTAACTTGTTTTAGAAAGTTCTTGATGTATTTTCTTGTGTGTTAAGGCTGATTTATGGTTGTAAGTAATGGCATCGTCATTTTTTATATCAACCCAAACTGTTAAGCACAAAGATTTGGGGTATAAGCTTTAGCAAAGATTGAATCCTCTAGGGAATAAGTCAAATCTCGACTTACTAAGACCGAACTCCAAACGGATCGTTCGCTTATAGAAAATTACACCTTGTAAAGCAATTTGTTTGAGCAAAACCACAACGACCGTAACTATGAGTATGGAATGGCATCTAGTCATCCAATGTTGCTTGGTTGCGATCGAGATCGAGAATGTGCTTCATGACTTTGAGAAAGGTAAAAGGTTGACCTCATACTCTATAAAGTAGTGAATGGCTATAGCTCTCCGGATCATTCTAGACTAAGTGAGGTCTACCCAAGGCTAGGAAATAAAATTCACCCCATATCTAGATGAACCAAAAAGGCTAAGATAAAGTTTTAAATCTGTTGGTCGACGCATCATGAAGCCGTGTGTACGTACACGCGAAGAGGATTGGACCTATGGCGGTTGGTTTAGTCCTATCGAATACGACTAGATTGTTAGCCCGGGGTAAGAATGCTTTGATTGGCTTCTTCGATTTGGAGCCTACAATATACTTACAAATCCATAGTAAGTAAAAATCAAACTCTTCATGATGGGATATCATTTTTCCACCTCCAAATCGATCAACCAACCGACCATATGCTTCGTTGAAAGCTTATTTTCTTAGACCTTAAGGTCTGCATTGTTCACTTTAAAAGCTAAAGATTGGCCGGAAAGATACGAGTAAGTAATCACCATGACATTCAACAGAGTCATCGATATATGGCCTTTTGGGAATTAGAATTGGTTGATGTAGGGATTCCGGAAAATGATTAAAGCCACAACCAAGATGGGGTTAGGGAAATATTGGTGAGTCGATAACATAATGGCTTCACGAATCCCTATTGCTTGCTCATTTCTAGCCTAACCGAGGAAAAAGTCTCTCATTCACCTAAATCTCATACTTGACATCCGATTTTGGCCAAACCACTAAAATGCTTTGGTAGTCTAGGTCTAATTTTGAAGGGTGGAATAAGATATGGGTTAAAAAATTATACCGAGCATCGGTTGTTCTAGGATAAGCTACGTTGATCATCTTTGACAAAGGCACTATGTCGGCATTGACTGTCGCCCCTAGGGTTAAATAGGGACTTGTCTTAGGGGTTTTTCTTAAGCCCAATCGGGATATCGATAGCTTCGTTATCGGTGATAGTCCGGAGGAGACAAGTGTCGACCGCATTAGGTTGCACAAACAACTCTCATAATTTATGGCAATCGGTTAAAGGAGCTACTTTAGTTTGAAAGAGTTTCTTGTAAGATTTGGTTTTCTTTTTGGGGCCATGTTTAATGGAATGAAAAGGAATTTCAAAGAGAAGAAGGTGTTTGACAAAAAGCAAGAAGGATTTTTGGAAACTTTTACGAAAATAAAGAGAATCGTGAAAAAGTGCAAATTTATAAAGTCGACCTTGTTTTATATTGAATACATTCAAGAGTTGCGATGATTTCACTTTTAAACTCAACTATTCAGATTTAGCAAAATGAAATGTTAGATTACTACATAAAGTAGCCACCTTTGGAAAGATTGGAATCCGCATGGTCTCATCACGTCTTATAAGTATTTAATAATCATGTCGTTAAAAAGAAAACTCATTGTTCCATCTCTAAAGGACTAAAAAGGAGGGCATGTGTTGGCATACATAAATTTAAAAGCCACATGTCGATTGGAATCAATGTGTATTTGTGCACTAAAATGTTGTATTTTAATCAAAATGATGCGTTTTTAAGATCTTAAGTAAAATAATACGTTTGGTCTTACAAACCAATCGGTATCGATAAACGAGAGGTTAAGAGAAAATCTAATAACTCGTTCGTGCTCAAATTTAAAACTCCGGATAGTTATCGATCGACAAACTCGTTTAAAAGAAAGAAGATGAAGAGAGAGAGGGACACGAGATTTCACAAAAAAATTCTTTTTATCCAACTTCCTATATAATAGTTTCACATTCTTACAAGTTAGATTTATAGTATTTGTCTTTCTTTTCGGTAGTTTAGAAGTTTCAATTTTAATTGTGATTGAATGGCTTCAATGTCATCGAGAACCGTTGATGTAAATATTATATTTTTTTATTTATAATATTTATATCTCAATTATTTCTTTGAATATTGTTTCTTTCAAGTACCAACATTCCTACTTATTTCATTTAATTACTCAAATCGAACCATTACGAAAAAGTCTTAGTAGTGTACTAGGCGAGCATTGAACCCTTTTGTTTCTCGTGAAAGACTTGGTTACAAATTAAAGTGTCTATCTACTCCATATTTAAGATCAAATTCGACGAGTCTGTAACAAGATTACTAATATGGCATGCATAATATTGATTCATGGTCACTTGCTTATTTTCTTTTGAGTTGATACTTTAGACACAACTATATGTTTGATTAAATATTTTCCCACTACTAGTTTAGAAAATATGTCTTATTATCGGTGCCTTTTTATCACTCCCCGATTATTCATTTCTCAAGGTTTTTCATTGCTCTTGCTTTCCAAACATATCTACTTGTATGTCACATAAGCTTGCTTTTGGTTATACTTCTCACAACCAATGATATCGTTGTTATAACCCTCAAACTAGAAAAGATTCATATTTGTCAACATGTTATCTTTGATGAGTTTAGCTTTCCTATATCATAATTATTCTCACACTATTCTAACTCTAGATATAGTACTCTATCCTTTATAATCTCAAATATGACTTCACTTCATATACCATCTACTATTGTATCTTGTAACCAACCCCCTTATGACCTTTTACCGACCAATCCCCATTTATCTCCTCATTTTAACTCTTTTAGTGATAGAATAGGCTCTAAACCTTTTACTTCTTCATCACTTACTTTGCATTCTCCTACTACTCATAAATCATATCCATCCTATGCACACTAATTCAAAGTTTGAAATTCAAAAACCTCACTAGATATTTTCTTTGGCTTATACACAAAACCAACTTATTTTTTCTCATGCTCGTTAAGGATAAAAGTTGACAACAAGTTATGATATATAAGTTCAATGCCTTGGTTTGTAATCATACTTGGAACCTCATCACCTCCCCTCCTCCAAATCCCATTAAAAACTTGATAAACTATAAATTGGTGTAATAAATTAAGGAGAATTCAAATGGATCTATAGAGCAATATAAAGCACGACTAGTTGCCTAAGGTTACAAGCAACATGCTAGAGTTGATTATGATGAGACTTTTAGTTTTGTTTTGAAGCTACTATTGTGAGATTGGTCTTATCTTTTGTAGTCACTCATGCATGGATTGTGCACCAACTTGATGATAAAAATGCATTTTTACATGAAAATTTACATAAAGAGGTCTATATAAAGCAACCTCTAAGATTTTTGCATCCTTAACACCCCGACTATGTTTGTCGCTATGTAA